ATACTGCCTGCAGTGCTTGTCCTGATTTCACGCGTTTGTACAAGTTACAAAGGGGGTTTCGTAATTTCCTGGATTCTTAAGCGGGTATTCGTTCTCGTAAGGTCTAATCGGAGACCTCGTGCTGAGGCTCCAATATGTCTATGAGACTCCTCATAGTTGCGGTGCTCCACCACCTTTAAAAGTCACATACTTGCATCTTAAAATGGACCATAGTCCGGAGGCGGGAAAAACCGTGGAGTGCGAAGTCGTTCCAGATACGGTGTGCTAATTGGCGTTGGCGCAGAATTGATACTCAGCTAATCCACTACTCTGACCCAGCTACAATCAACCGCGTCCGCCACTGGGTCCGCAGCGGCCTAGCAGTGCCTTCGTCTGTTATTAACTATAACTTTATAATGGTAACACATGTGAGAACATAGCAGAGGAACGATTTTCCTCTGTTTGCCTAAATTAGCTTGGGTCAAACAGTGCTATAGATTTTTTCAATATTTTTGCCATCTCCCCAACTTTCGTTATCCTTATTATGGTGCTTCCAGATGCAATGGTGGAGATCCTTATGCTGCATGGAGGTACTGGACTAAGACGGGTATCGTCACAGGATCTAATTATACAACGAATGCTGGTTGCAAGGTAAGAGGATACATTTTGGCTTTATTGTGCATACGTTGCAATTGCACACCATACAACAAACCCAGAAAGTAGTTGATGCATATTCGACAATGCGAAAATTGGCACCTTCGTTGTGCTTTGACTTGCAATCTGACCGGTACACGTTATTGAGCAGCTTTACCCTATAACTATTTAGCCTTATCCATTCCCACCATGTGAACATCACTCGAACAAAACACATTACGATCCTTGCAAACACGATCTATTCCCAACTCCAAAATGCGAGCGAACATGTGTCCCAACATACAAAGATAGAAGCTATGATGCTGACAAGTATTATGGTGGGTGATATAATAACTTTTATCATACTGAAACTAATCGTCGTTGATTTAGGTCGTTCTGCTTATGGGGTCAAGGACAATGTTGAAGCCATCCAGAAAGAGATAATGACTCATGGACCCGTTGAAGTGGCTTTCGAGGTCTATGAAGATTTCTTAAATTATGCTGGAGGAGTCTACGTGGTAAGTAGAGGTTTTATCTTTTATTCTGGTTCAGAGGTATTGCAAGAACCAAAAGAGGTTTCAGCACCAAATCTGCTTATAATTAAGTAGTGAAAACCAATCTTTCTGTAATCAACTTTCAGCTCATTAAACTGTAATTTCTAAAATAGTTCGTATCTATTTTGATCTCTAAGTATCGATATAGTTTTTTGTAATCTAAATCGCTTTTGTCAAAAACAAATCAGATGCGTTGTGCTGCTTATCGTTGAATAAATTAAAGTGCGAAACTGCGGAATGACCTCTGATAAAGG